TAGGGGCTCCTGGCCTCACTACTAGGAGCAAGGACGCTACTAGGGGCAGTCAACCAATGCCCACCTTTGGCCTCCAGTGTTTCTTTCTCTCTGTTCCAATTTCAACACTTGGATCCCACCTCTGCGGTCCAGCTTGATAATACAGCTGAGTCTGGAAGACCTTGGTGCTAAGCTGGACCTTTCTTTTTTAGCCGCTCCTACTTAATTGAGTATGGCGACTAGTTCGCTACTAGGCTGAGTTAGCTTCTAGGTAGGACACAGAATAGTTCACGCTTCTTCAAAGAAGCCCCCCCCGCATGAGGGCGGGGGGAGCTTCCTTGAAGACGTGATCGCAGCCATTAATGGTTTGGTTCCTAGATGTTTCGGAAACTTGATTGTTTTGTACAAACAGCATTGCACCTGCGCTTCGTATGCATTCCACATTACTCGAGGAACTTTCACAACATAGCACAACAAGTGAGTCACCTGAGAACATCAGTTGAAAACATTGTTTGACACAAGTCAATCTACGTTTCTTCTTCAGTCCCAGTCTGATGAACCAACAAAGTCTTTAGAAAACGATTTGCGAATCTCGTGGGGTCACCCTTTGATGCGCATGTTCAACAAAGAAATGGAACATTCCATAGCGTCACTTTCCCGGAATCCTCCAGTGCCGCTTTGACACTAGCATTGACAAGTTCCAGTTTGCCCACCTGAGTCGTGAAGGATATATAAACAATGAAATGCAACCGCTCCTGTAGTAATGCGCGTTACCCCCCTCAAGCAAATACAAAAAGGATGCCCAAAATTCGTGCCCCGTCACTGCAACATGCAACAAAGCTGGTGCGGCCACTTGCAGCATGTGTTCATGGCCTTTGTTTGTTCAACCCACATCCTGCAAACACCACACATTTAGCTCAGCACAATGCTTTTTCCTGGCCTTCTGTAATTCCTTCGCGTGGAAGGCCACCAAGCTCCGATGAATCCGCTTTAACAGCTCCCCATCCTGTCAAAAAGAGCTAAACCTAAACGCGCTTCGCGCAGTTGGAAGACTGCTTGCGAGGACTCCATCACCCCTTCTCAACCCACAACTGTTCACACCAGAACAGTCTTGTTGATTCACGCCACACCCGCAGCAAGAGATCTATATGTGTTTAAAAATATATATACTGTGCAACGCGAGCATTGTGACAGTTAGCTGTCTTACCGCCACCAGTCAAGAGGATCAAAAGAAGCTGTCAGAAGGGCTTAGGTTGAAGTCACACAGCCACTTCGTAGGTCGAGCCCCTAGGATTCTCTGTCCTCTGAACTTGAGGAAGTTGTAGGCTGTGCAGACCGCTTACATGGTAGCGTGGCCCAAGGTGGCATCCGAGTAGTTTTGAACTGTATAGCTGTAGGTGCTAGGCCCCTACGAGCAATGACAGCGATCGAGCGCAGCAAAGATGGTGTGCCCCAATGGGATGGCTCAGCGAGCACATTCCAAGAGTACAGTGAGCTTGCAGAGCACTGGGAACAGACAGTGCCCTACCACAAGCGGTACCTATGTGGACCCAAGCTCTTGAATGAGTTGTCAGGCACCGCAAGACGCTTCATCCTGTCGAAGCGCCCGGGATGGCTATCCCACAATGGAGGTGTCCAGACCCTGCTAGCTCACCTACGACAACATCTTGGCTTGCCCCAGCTTTCCGAGATGAGTGAGTACATGAACCGCTACTTCAAGCAAAGCCGAAGGAAAAGAAATGAATCCATGAACGAGTACATCACTCGGAAAGCTGAGCTCGGGTTCTTACCAATGGGACTGGACCACTTGGAGAGATTGGGGAGCTCATGGGTGGGACTGGAATGAACCTCAGTGGCAAGACCAAGCCTGGCAGTCTAGCCAGGCCTCATGGCACACAGGCTTCGAAACTAAGCCCAGGCAGGGTGCAACTACTACCAGATTTTGTCCAAGGCTGGTTCCTACTACAAGATGCAGGATTGGATACCAGCGAGAAGAACATGATCCAGTCAGCCCTGAAGAACGACTATCGATTCCCAAGAATTACGCAGTCAGTGGAATGATGAAGACCTCAGGAAGAGAGATCAGGGAGGAAGAGCCACCGCCTGGGCCGTTGATGAAGGAGAACGTGATCCGTTCACCTGGAGAGCCCCGACCTGAGCCTCTTGGCCTCAACCGGACTCAATGCCGATGGGTTGGCATTGGTCAACGATGCTGAGTTAGATACTCAGGAGGAGGCCTTGGCCATGATGGAGAAAGGTCGAAGGACCTTACAAGAAGCTCGTGCCCGGCAACAACTTGTGAAGTTGAGCCGTCAGTACTATGGCACCCCAGGTCGAACCTATGGAAAAGGAGCACCCCGACCATGCGAGAAAGGAGAACCCGAACAACAGCTCTGCGAGATGCCTGAGTTGTGGTGGACAGCACAAGACCGATGAGTGTCCCAAGAAACAGAAGAGCTTTCAGAGCCAACATGAACCTGACCAAGCACCCTTCATTTGCCTGGCAGATCAGGTCCTGTCCACCGATGGCGCGAATCAAAAGATCACAACCAGCAAACTGTCCTACAGGGCAAGGCAGCCGTGGACGGCTGCGCCACGCGCACGGACCGTAGTGGAGCTCGAGACACGCCTCTCCGAGCTCCGGAGCAAGGCCTGCCCGAGTTCGATTCCAAGAAGACACGAACACCACTTCGACATCAACGCCTGAAGCACGAGTTGGTGGAACATGTCTCCAAGACCCTGCGAGTGCCCCTGACCGGGACAGAGACTATCAAGGTCCTGATGCAGAAGGGCATGGCAGCCATCTACGACCAAGCACCAGCTCATGGCCAAGACCCTGTCGGATTCGGGAAGCATGCGAGCCTATGCTACGAGGAGCTTTGGGTCAGCCACCGCTCCTACGCCACATGGGTGATGGAGACGTCGTGGGAGAATGGAGACGATGCATGTCCACGACTTCACCGCCTGGCCAACTGGCTGGAAGAGCGGAAGAAGCGGATGGACATCGCCACTCCGCGAAAGGCAGCAGCTTCATCCCATACCGATCCAGCTGCGCCGACAATCCAGAAGACCATGACAGGACCATCCGGGACATCATCCGGCTACGTGAAGCCGAGCCCCGAGTCCGATCCCAAGACACAAGAAATGATCCAGACGTTGGCCAACGCAGTGGTGGAGCTCAAGGAGGCCCTGAAAGGGGAATTGCCTCGCAAGGGACAACGTTCGAACCCCTCGGAGGCCACGGATCTGAGCTTCGAGTTGCAGCCCCAGTGAGCTTGAGCCTTAGTAAAGACCTTAGCTGCAGCGACCATAGTTTGAGACATGGTTGTGTCTCTGAGACGATGGAACAGGCGAACTCTGTGAAACAGTTGAGTAAGGGAATGAACCGACATTTGTCTCAAAAGACGGATTCCTTGTTGCCTGACACCATCCAATCTTTGGCCCTGCACGAAAGGTGTGTTTTGCTTGAAAACGCATGTAGCCAGGAGAGTTTGTTGAGTAGTACAATGCACACTATAACTGGCTCGGAAAAATCCGCACAGCGACTTTCGATATGGAACCATTTTGATTTGAGCAAAAATGATGGCGTTCGTTCGATTTTGGATCGCATCGATCGTGAGAGACCATATCACATTTGGCTTTCCATGGAGTGTAGCCCCTACTCAGTCATGCAAAACATCAACCAGAGGTCTCCTGAACAAAAGGCCCAATTGGAACAGAAACGTCGTGAGGTCCTGAAACAGTATGTCGGAGGAGCGATCATCTATCAATACTGTATCCAAAGAGGACACCATGTGACTTGGGAGTGGCCTCAGACATGCCAGGCATGGAGATTGCCTCTGGTGCAGCACCTGATGCAAAAGTACCAACTATACTTTGCTATCACTAGAGGCTGCCAGGTGAACCTAAGGGGTCAGGCCGGAAGGTTTATCTCTAAGGGGTGGAAGCTAATGTCTACTAGCTCACACATGGCTAAGCGCGTGGACCTTCCTTGCACTTGCCAGAAGGAGACAGAACATGTGGGTTGTGAAGGTTCGTTGACACGGAAAACTGCCTTTTACACACCTGAGTTTGCTAGGAGAGTGTGTGAAACCATCCTTCAGGGAGACGCCCCCCAAGAGATCCAAAAGGAATTTGAGGGGTGCTTTGAGGGTTGTGACCTTTTTGGAAGAGGTTTGTTGCGTGCTTGCGAAGACGGAAAACGACGCGATGCAGACCTTCAGTGTGGTTCATCTCAAATTAAATCTTACCGGAATCCTCGCAGCTGATGAGGACAACCCATGCTCTCTTACCGAAGAACAGATTAGGAAGAAACTGTATCTCCTTCACGCCGCAACTGGACATAGCCCCACGAAGTACCTTGTTCAGGCACTAAGGCGCCGAGGTGTGCATAAGAAAATATTGGAAGAAGCAGAACGCTTCACCTGTTCCGTGTGTGCGGAAAGAGCGCGACCACAGCCCAGGAACGTCGCGGCGCTTGAACCCCAGCCACCAAAGTTCGCGACTTTGTCGGCAGACGTGGGAAACTTCATACAACCAAACACGGGTGAGCATGTCCAATTTGTGTTGTTTGTCGATGAGGGTTCGAGGTTCCGAGTGGCTCGGATCGTCACGAAAGGTAAGAAACAACATCCGTCGGCTGCACAGTTCATTACAGTGCTCAAAGAAGCTTGGATCTCGTATTTTGGAACCCCCTTGAATCTTCGGCTAGACCCCGATGGCGCCTTTCGGAGTAGGGAGTTGTTGGAACACTGTGATCAACACCAAATTTTCTTGGACATCATCCCGGGAGAAGGACATTGGAAGTTGGGAACGTGTGAGCGAAGCATTCAAGCAGTGAAAGACCTACTATACAAAGTATGTTCCGACTTGCCAGACATCTCCATGGAAGACGCCTTGTCAGAATGTATCCAAGTCCTCAACAACAGAGAGGTAGTCCGAGGGTATTCTCCCATACAACACGTTTTGGGGCGAGCACCAGATGACACGGAAGATTCTTCACACCTGACACCGCAAACTCACCAGATCTCCTGTCAGAGTCGCCAGCACAAGAACTGCCCAACCAGTGAAGAGCACACATGGCAAGCTCGTAGGGCCAGCGAGGATCCTTGCTACAGAAAACCGGAGAGATGACCAGGGTCATCTGATTGCAGGATCCTCAGTATGGTTGGTCAGAGGCCGCCGATTGCTGAAGTGTTGTCCCGAACAGTTGAGACATGCCTCAGAGAGGGAAAAGATCCTGGATGAGTTACACTCGGAGGAATGCCAGCCATGGAGTTTTCCAACATTAGCAGAAGAGCTGGGAGGAAATGACTATGAGGATTGGTCAGAACACCCGGAGGAAGGCGAATGGCACCGAGCCGGAGATCCCCGACATGAGTGGCAGCCACACGTTCGACAACGAGGCAAGCGACCTATGCCTCCAGACTATGAGGTAGATGTCATTCCCAGAAGGTTCAGCCAGCAGCCGCTTGAGGAGATCAACAGATTTCCATGAAGCTCCCGATGAGAACATGTATGTCAGGGTCACAGCACCACCATGCGGATTCCAATCTGGAACCACGTGGATACAACAAGTCAAGGAGACCGCATTTCTTACAACTGAGGAAGAAAGTTTCTGGCAACATGAGTCAGCAGCAGTGACCATAGAGATTGACATGCCCCAGACTCGAGGAGCATCAGAGCGTGCCTTCAAGAATTTGAGTGCATTTCTGGTGTCAGCTATGAAAAGAAAGACAATAGAGTAGAGGTCTCAGAAAAGAAGATGACACCCGAGGAACGCGCAGCTTTCCAGAAGGCAAAAGCAGTGGAAGTATCCAACTTCATTGCGGCGAAGGCCTTTGAAGCATTGCCAAAGGGCTACCGCGCTCGGAAGGAAGATGCAGTCCGGATGAGATGGATTCTTATCTGGAAGAACCTACCAGATGGAGGAAGAAAAGCAAAAGCAAGAGCAGTATTGCTAGGGAATCAAGACCCCATGTATGAAGGCAGAGCAACAACATTGACATCCCCGACGACCATCAGACAGACAAGACAAATTCAGTTGACCACAGCAGCAACAAAAGGTTTCCAAACCCGCAAGGGTGACGTCACCGGAGCATTTTTACAATCTCGAGAATACCCGGATGACTTGCTATGCATCCCATGTCCAGAGATTCTGGAAGCTATGGGGTTGGTTCCTGAAACCATCACAAAAGTACGCAAAGCATGTTATGGTTTGGTTGATGCACCGCTAGAATGGTACAGGTCAATCAGCGAGTATTTCCACACATTGGGACTCCGACGCTGTTGGTCTGACCCTGGCTGTTGGACATTTGTTGACAATGGAGAACTTCAGGGTATCATTTCAGGCCATGTGGATGATTTTGTCTTCTCAGGAAATGAGGACAATACAGCATGGAAGAAAGTTCTGGAATCCATACAAAAACAATACAATTGGTCTGACTGGGAAAGAGGTTCACACAATGTGCATCAAAGTAGAAAGATATGCAGATGGGACTTATGCACTTTCACAAGAAGCCTACATTGAGGAGCTGAAATACATCAACATCCGAACACATCGCAAACAAGACAAACACAGCGAAACCGACGACTGGGAGAAAGGACAACTCCGTACCTTGCTGGGAGGTGTTAGCTGGCTGGCACAACAAACAGCACCCCACTTCTCTGCAGAGACCAGCCTGTTGTTGTCAGAAGTTTCACGTAGCACGGTAGAGACCCTGCATCGCGCGAACAAATTGATGTCCCAGGTGAAGGCGATGAAGGACCACAAACTTCTGATCCCCAAACTGTGTTTGGATTCTCTGGGTCTGTTTGTGTGGTGTGACGCCGCTAACCAGAATCGGGTGGACGGTGGCAGTACTCAAGGGTACGTCATAGGTGCCTCCCACCTCAGTTTGCTTGAAGGATCTTGTGAACACATCTCCCCAATTGCATGGAACTCATCCCGGATTCAGCGGGTTTGCCGAAGCCCCGGGGCCAGCGAGGCCGCAGCAGCTGTAAATGCTGAAGATTCCTTGTATTTTGCAAGGTTTCAGTTTTCGGAAATGTTTGGACGACCCCTGAACTTGAGACATGTGAACGAAGCAGTGAATTCCATACCAGGGTGTTTGATAACGGACTCGAGAAACGTGTACGATAAGATGAAAACTGAGGTCGTATGCACCCGAGGAACAGAACGCAGAGTAGACATCGAGCTGATGAGTTTGAAGCATGGCCAACTAGGAATGCTGTGGTCATCCGATGGGTACACAGCGACGCCCAATTGAGCAATTCGCTGACCAAGAACGAGCAGAGACAGTTGCAGCTGTTCTACAAGATGCACCAGATGTGGCGCATTGTCCAAGACACCAACATGACGTCAGCCAAGAAGAGAAAGGAACAGAACATAGATCCACTTACAAACAACATCACACCACAACACAAGCAAGATGAGCAACACAACGACAGTAACTAGAAGTCCCGGACCTGGAGACGCGCGGTTTCTTGGTTTCGTTTGTTTTGAAAGAGTACGCAGTGGCTTGATTGCACTTAAAAGGGGACCCGGTGGCATGCAATGCGAGCATTGTGACAGTTAGCTGTCTTACCGCCACCAGTCAAGAGGATCAAAAGAAGCTGTCAGAAGGGCTTAGGTTGAAGTCGCACAGCCACTTCGTAGGTCGAGCCCCTAGGATTCTCTGTCCTCTGAACTTGAGGAAGTTGTAGGCTGTGCAGACCGCTTACATACTGTATATTGTCTGCAGTAAATGAAGGGGTTGCGAGTTCAGCTTGCTCAGCAAGTTCCACCGCGTTAAGCGAAAACGGTGGCATCAACAAAAATGGCAAACAAGAGTCGCGGTGATCAAGACTTGGGACTGGGTAGGGTGTAGTGTAGTGTTTGATTGATGCATGCAGGCGCCTTTTGCTGCTCCAAGACGACAATCGGATCTCCCTTACCTGACATTTCTTCAGTCTGGCCCAGTGTTCATCAGCGTTACCCCAATCTGCTAGCCACTATCCACCTGTTTGCATGGAAACAAGGAAATGCTTTGTATGTTTCTTCACAACACACACTTATGTTCAAACAAGTTCCCCACTTCACCGCTTACAAAGCAAACAGCCCAATGAATTTCTTTCAGCCCACCCGTCACCACCTACCTGAACCAAGGGGCGGTCAGCCAGCATGAATGGCCTGAAGGCTTGGATGATGGCATCATCGCCACCATAAATGGCCTCCAGGAATCCTGCCGATAACAAGAGTTGTGGAATACAAACATATTACTAGGAACAAGTGCATGGGTATTATAAGCATATTACAGTATTCTTCTTGGCTGGCTCGAGGGGCGACAGAGAGGTAGCGAATGGTAGCTGAGCTGGTAGTAGCCTGAAAGCTACTACCTACTGGACGCAAAAGGGCAAAGGGCTCACCAATGGAAATCACGTATCAAACTTTCAGCCTCAAGCAGTTCCCAAAGCCCACCAATCCACCAGAAGTGTTATGGAAACGCAGTGTGCAAAAGCAATCCCCCCCTTCAAAGCGTGACTGTTCCCCTGATTTGTGCCGTCGAGCAAAGAAAACTCGAGAAACTTATGACGACTTTCTGTTCTTTCCATTTCAATTTCCTTTATTTGTGCCTTTGTTTCTGTTTCATGTCTGTCAGCACACTTCGCCAGCTTTGCCTCGGCACGGCCGCTTGGGATCATCCCCATCGCACCGGTAGTCGCCATCCCAGTAGCGGCCCTCCAGCGGCAATGGAAATTGATATGGAGCCTCCCAGGCCTCGGTGCTCAGCCCTCCCAACACGGGCAACATAGTCACTGTGGTGACTTGATGACAGCAAAGGGAACTCCAGAGTTCCGAACACTATGCAGTGCTATGCACAAGTAAGGCAATAGAGAAGGCGCACGGCAAAAAGAGAAAAGCTGCAAAAGGTACAAGGCAGAGTTGCGAGACTTAAGCTTCGATGCACCTCAAGCAAAAGGGCACGCTACGATGTCGAGTCTACTCCGACTCTCTGTTTCATCCAGATGCCATCCAATGCATGTTTGAGGCAGCTCACACGATGCCTTCACTTGTTAGACCTGACTTGAAATTGGCAAAACTCACGGTTACATCACAGGGTAGTCGTGCGAAGAGTATCTGCCAAGAGTCGTAGTTACAAAGCAGAAACAGACCTTTTGTAAGAGAGGCCGGAATGTTCTGAGAGGATGGTTTGGAGAGAGGAAGTTCAGCTTGGGCCACTGGCGCTCGTGCTTGGCAAATCGAGGCAAAATGCAAAGGAAACCAAACAAATATGAGTGGCGCGCAAATGGGAAGGCCTTGCGCCTAAGCTAATGAGGCTGGTGTAAGAATGCGGAGATTGTGGAGAAAGTAAGCCAACCAATCAAAGTTTGATCGCTCTTCCGTTTTGTTGGTTAAGACTCAAGACCAAGGCTTGACTAAGGATGCCACAAATAAAATGTCACACGTACCAAACCAAACATAACAAAACAACGAACACAGCATCGAGAAAATCCTGATCAACAAGTCCTCCGCTCCTCCCCTGATCCCCTCGTCCTCGCATCCCCTCCATTAACTCGCCTGGTTGACTGCTTACAATGAGATTTGTGTTTCTATACATTTGGAGACAACATGGGACAACTAAAGTTATTTGTCTTCGGACTGTATATAGGTTGTTCTTTCCAGGCACTTCGGGAAAGTGTTGGCTGCTATAGCAAACCAGCAGCTTCTAGTTCAATCTCAGTTGGCTCACAAAAGGTCGGCCAAAAAGAGCGCGAGAAAGCAGAGCAAAAATGCGCAAAGCCAAAGCAGAGCTTAATTACCAACCATAGGGGTAGATGAGTAGTATTCAAATGTCATTTCTTTGCTGTTGTGCGCAAACCAGCTAAGCCCAAGTCCACAATTCGGGCCACAAAAAGAAATCTACTGGTTGTGCACCCAAAACTGGCCAAGCGCAAGCCATTTTAAAGGTCACCCACTCGCGTACAGAAAGCAAGATCCAACAAACAATTCCACTGAGCGCTAACATCAACCTCCATCCGTCCTCCTGCAAAACCTCAAGCCAACCAAGCCAAAGCCCAAACCATTAGTACTTGGGGTCTAATCTGTACCATTGTATAATACTCATATGGGGAGATGTAATCTTCGAATTTCGAGCAAGCAAGCCTAATGCAGCCACAGAGCCCCAATTCGGTTCAAACTTCAATAGTCAAGGGGCAGAGAAGCTACCATACATGTTGCTGAACTCTCCACCAACGTGTTGCAAATAGTTCCTCCACCAAGCATCCTCGCCACGAGGAGGGTTTTCGATGACTGCTTGCTTCCCTCTTTTTGTTGTCGCTGATGCATTTGTGTCAGAATAATGCTTCGGCACTGCTCACATTTGTACACACCGCCTCATAGTGAACGTAGAGCTTCAGAATCGCCATTGAACTTGGAGCAAAAAGGTCTGGAGGAGGAGACATCTTTGCATCCACCTGGCTCATGGACAAAATGTGAGAAACGCGATACCTCTTCAACAATTATATAATGGTTGACCCCAATCAGTGGCGATTTGCAGCCTCCGAACTAGCGCGCAGCAGGCGCAACAGTGGCAGCTGCGGTATATTTAGCAACACCGCTGAAGCCTCCACCTGCGTTTCAAGGTTTCAAACAGCCTTCTGCCTAGATGTGGAAAGGCACTGCTTTTGTGATACCAGCACCAACTGTGTGTCTCCTTCGCTGGTGAGTATTGCAATGCTTGTGTTCTCAGCCCACGACCATTGGATTAACTCGCGGTATATGTGAAGTAAAAAATGGCTACGCCACATACCAGCGTTTCTTGGCGGCATCACCACTCGTGGGAGCACTGCCTTGGATTTTACATGGCAGACCCAACTTACATAAGGGGTCTTTCGATGAGTTCTTCAGCTGCTTCAGCCTCAAACTTCTTGTCTGGGCCCTTCCTCGGCACTGGAATTTGCTTGGACTTCTGATGTCAACTCATGTAATAAAACTTTTAGAACAATAAAGACACATACAGTGTACATATACGCATATATATATATACATATCAAATTGTTACATGAATCATATTGTCCAGAAGATACCGACTATAGCATGCCGCATGCCAGCTTCAGCCATGAAACACTGACACAACGACACTTCCAGGTCCACTTTGAGCACGACGGAGGCCAACCACCTGGCAAGAGGTTGTTGCTTGCGGATGGGAAGCTGGGGTCTTTCACAAGATGTACTGTCAATAAAAATTTGAAACATAAGGCAAAGATGCGCATAAAATATGCAACACAATACCTAAATGTCTAAACCAATCTATCTGCAATCAGTGTAGCGACGTTTGACTGTATACAAAATGCTCAGAAATGGCAGCCTGAAGAGTGGCTCAAAGGAGAATTACAACACAAATCGGGTCACAAAAAAGTCGCGCTTAGTGTACATGCAAGAACCCGGAACTTCTTCCGAGCGTGTCCTGCGGAAAAAATACTACAACCTACTACAGTTGCGAATCACACCAAGAAAGGATGGATGTTCATGCAGCCTCGGGGTGATCAGCCACAAAAGGATTGAATCCTGGTGAGCGAACCCAATGTAGCATGAAATACAAACATTCAGGGTCAGCATGGTATGAAGCTAGGCAAGACAGGAAACAGGATGCATATTAGGAATGTGTCTGTGTAACCTTGGAATCAAAGGGAGCCTTTCGGATTTTGTACTTGGATTTGCTTCTAATGCAGGGGGCCTGGAGCCGATTTGCCTATCCAGTCCAATGAAGCTATGGCTTATTGGTGGAAGAGTGGTCTGATCAACCACTTGTACCTGCTTGTGATGACTTGACACTACCAAGTGGGCCACTTTTGCTCGTCGCTTGGTGATCCCTCGATGTTTGATTTAGAACTTTTATTCTTGATCCTTTGTTGACGGTTAGACGCTGCTCCACTTCATCCCTGTCTATTTTAGGCCTGTGCGAGTGTACGCAAACCACAACATGCTTTGTTTTCACCATGGAATCCAAAAGGTAGCCAGGTAGCCTCTGCTACTTCACGGATCCTGTCGGTCGGGCTGGTCGATCCTAGGATTTGTTGTGTGCGCTGCTCCGTGCGCGGCACTGCAAGTCGTGTGCACTGCCGCAGGGCCGTGGCTGCACTCTGCATTGCTAGCTAGCTCGTAACTCAACTTGTCAAAGGCAGCTAACTCCAATTCAGTGTCTTGTGACTCATGACTCATGACGCCTCGCTACACTGATTTGTTATTGGCTCGCCCCGCTCACCCCTCACACAGCTAGCTGAATGCCCAGCTACAAATCAGTCTTAGCCGCAGCCCCTTTCCAAACACAGCCAGGTTGAGACAAAAATTCCTTGTGGAGTTTGATCTCGCCCAAAACCTGTGGGTCGGGGAAGCTCCTAGCGACTCTCCTAGCTTTATATCTGTGCTGCCTCATAACCCGGGGCACCTCGTGACCAAGGAAGATCTTCAACCGATCTTCAGCCTTTTGGGGCTATGGTCTCAATCAAAGGAAGCAAGCAAAGCTGAACACACACAAGCAGAACACAAATAAAAAAACATGCTCTGAGTGTGTCTCTTATCTCTTTATCTGTGCTGCGCGCTGCCTTAAACATTTAGACCTTTCACTCGCTTCTGTGCTTTTCCTTGTTTCTTTCCTTTTCCTTGTTCAATCTTCCGCCTCTTTGGCCATAGTCTCAACAAAAGTAGCGTAGCCCGCGTTGTGCCCGGCGGCATCGACGATCTTTTCCATTTTCGAGTTGTCACCTCCACAAAGGTTTGCTCAGAACACCAATAAATCAACGGTTGCATAGTCTGGTTGCAATAAGCCAAAGATTTCTGGCTACCAGAGCCTTGTGCAACTCGCCCTCCCCATGATCAGCTTCATTCCCTCGCTACAGTCAAAACAGGAATCTCACTTGAAGGCCCCATATCCCTCCGTCCCTCCCTGCCTCCCTCCCTCCCTCGCTTGCTCTGCCAATCAGTCACTCAGTCACTCAAACAGCCACTCAGTCACTCAGTGAGTCAGTCAGTCAGTCACTCACTCACTCAGTCACGCACTCACTCAGTGACGCACTCACTCAGTCGGGGAACCAGGGTGAAGAAGTAAGCATGTAAAGCGGTCTGAGCATGAAAGCCTCCAAGCCCTCCAAAACCTTGAACTCATACATCTCAGAGGACTGCAGTGAAGAAACCGCTGCAAAGGCCGGAAAATTGTTCTAGTTAAGAACGGGACTAAGTACGCAGTTGGACGTCTCCAACTGTATCACAGGTGACTGATGAGCGTCTTTGTTAGCACCGGTCTCATCAGCACCCCCGGTGTCCTCTGCAAACACACCAAAAGGTGAGCTCATTGTCAGAGCCTGGAAATGGGTCGTAGAGTGCAGTCTTCAACTTCAAGGCATCCTGCAAGCTGCCGCAGAACCCGGAACAATGGGATGATAGAAAGGCAAAAAGGTCACCGCATGAATTTTCAGGTTGCAAAGCAAGGTATATATATGGTGTATATATATATGTTACATGTGTATATATATATATATATAGTTGTGTTTAAATGTGTGCTTAGTTACTTCAGAAAACTCTCGGACATAGACTCAAAAATCGATTGCTAGGTGCCCCGTAGTGCCCTGAATGAGAGGAACATTCATTCGAGCCTTGACGAGGTGCGCAGTCAGGGGTGTCCACTCGCACTTGGTGACCCGCTGCCCGGGGGGGCCATACTCGTTGCACTCCGGCACCGGCACAAAGCCTGTGCCGAAGCACAGTCTGGCCCATCTTCGTGAGCTACCAGACATGCCATGACCACAGTGAACTCAAGAGTCAAGGTCTGCTATCGTGAGCGCAGAAAGTTTGTGCAAACTATGAATAGGATCTCTGTCTATTGGCATTTTGAAGAAAGCTGCAAGTATTGGCCCCATACAATCACTGCAGGATTATGAGTCCTAAATTCTCGGCGCCGACTCTCAGTTCCCGGCGGTATGCACCGGCTTCAACGACAAGGTCCTGTAAAACATGCGGACAGTGCAGTGTAACACTGCGAATGAAATGAGAAAGGCCACGTAAAGGTTGACGGCAGAGTGCTGCATGTGTACATAACACAAAATGCGTTGTTTATAGAACAAGGATTGGGGTATATGCAAAGACAAAGGACTGCGCTCTCCATGCGTTCGCAAAAAGATTCCAGCCTTCCGTGGTCCCAAGCCACGGATAGAAGCAATACGACCACCTCAGCTCAATCCTGTTGCTTGGATGCCCTGTGGACTCTGTGCATCTGTCACACCAATTGCAGCTAATGACAATGACAACTAGAATCTTCGCTCTGCCTCTGTCGCCTCTGCCCTTTGACGCATCCCCTCTGCTGCCTTGATCACCCCTTAGGACAGCCCACCTAAGCGCTGATGCCGTTCGAAGAGACACACCGACGAATTGGGCAACGCTGAGAGGCGCCAAGCAGCATAAACCTCAGAGGGTCAAAAAGGCGCAACGAAACAACCTCGAACAGAGCATAAACCTCTGAGCATGCTAATGACATCGAGGTTCTGATCATTCCCCAAACTGGGTCAAGATATTGCTTGAAACCTTATTTGCGATACAGGTTCTTCGCAGTCTCTTTCCTTCTGTCAAAAATACCTGGAACAATTTGTTTCCCAGTTGGATCATGAAGCTACAGTACACCTCAAAAAAAACTTAAACCAAGCTCCGATAAACAAGTTCACGTGTGGATTCGACTTTAAAACTAACGCGTGTCATCCAGGCACAAAGTCTTGTGTCAATCAGAAACTCCTCGTTCTTGTGACAATCAACACTAGCTACAACGGGACAGTCACGGTCAACTGGCAAGTGTCGTATTGTCACAACATCCCCTGGTGAGCTCGGGAGAAGGGAGAGTTCGATTATGTTGCAAAACGGGAACGCAACCTCAGAGCATACCATATGAAGTCTACAGATTCTGATCGAAGTAGTCAAGTCCATCTACAAAATCAAACATGCAGGAATGCAAAATAAATGTCTTTACAAAATCACACCTCGCAGCCTCAAGGGCTGAAGAACAGGACTCTCAGGAATGAACGTTCTCCCTAACCATTTTAGAGTGAATAGGATGTGTTGTTTGTGTTTACATGTTTTGATTCTGTAGGGATGCTTTCTTCGTAGATGTTTGTGGAGTGTTGTAGAATGTTGTGGAAGGATTCAGACCCTCACCAAATACAAAGCCAAGGCATACAACAAAGGGAGACTGGTTCATAGAAAACATATATGAGAAGCCCCATTAAACGCCCACTGCCTAAAAGACTGTATTAAGAATCACCAGTATGGCTATGAGGCATCCTGCTACTAGTAGCTTCTTGCTCCAAGTAGCGATGGCCTCGACCCAGTAGCGATGGCCTCCACCTAGTAGCTTCTTGTTACTAGTAGCAATCGCCTCCACCTAGTAGCTTCTTGCTACTAGTAGCGATGGCCTCCACCTAGTAGCTTCTTGTTACTAGTAGCGATGGCCTCCACC